TTATAAATATGAAGTTCGTCCCATTTCCACCTTCATGTCGATTAAGTTATACAGTAAAATTCATCACGTTCAAGATACTCTCGACGAATATCCATCCTTGGATGGCCTTGAAAGTAAGGATGGTCGTTTCCTACATGTAAAGAAATAATATCATGAAATCGAATTGAATTTCAAGCTAATATACGGACAATTGTTGACATCCTACCATTATTTGAACACAATCTAGATGAAATAGGTGATATCCTCCGGAATGTTTTTTGTTCGAACCGTCCGGTGAACCAAGCATTTATTCAATTTGGATTATTTCGTGAAGTGCTAATCCGGAAATATATTAGAAGAAGTGTAAAATTTTCTTAAATGTCGATTTGGATTCTACATTTCTTTTGAGAAAATAAAATTTTTATTTAATTTTTTTTTACATATTTGATTTGTGTGCAATTTTGAAAATCAAATAACCAGAGTAAATATTCATGTACCTATCGAATGTTTTTTCTTTTGATAGAAATAGTTTCTTTCATTATTGCTAAAGCTTAAACTTTAAGGATCAGAAAAAAATTAATTAGAAAAGATATATTTTCTTTCAAATCAAATTACGAATAATAAAAATTTTAAGATCTATCTATTTACCTGAGATTATATTAGGAGCGCGTCCTCGACATTCTAAATACGATTTTAAAATGAGTTTTTTGTTGATAGATAATTCGCGCTGCATTGATTATGTAATCTTAATCCAACCCAATATAGAAAGTTTAAAAGTTAATCGTTATGTTGTAAGAAAATATAAATGTCACGTGCTCAAGATAGATATCATGAGTTTATATAAGGTAAGAGTACCGTGATATAATTTTTTAAACAAAAATTAAATAATACTAAATCAACTCACCAGTTTGAACTTGATTTTGAACAATACTAAGTAATCGACATTTGAGGTGATTACAAAAAAAAGAGAACTAATGTTTTCTAAAATTCTTATCACCCGACAATAATGGAATGAATTTTTTAATAATACCAAAGAGAAAGAACATGACCTTGATCCTAGCTCAGTGAACTTATGGAAGGAATAGGATACGACGAGATTTGTAGCGATGTTAATTTAATGATCATAATTTTCAAAAGGAATTTCTCTCGCTTTGTTCTGAATTACCAGAATAAATCAGCGGTTGAATACTTTCAGGAAATTTTACAGCTGTAATTTCATAATCAATAATGTATTTCAATGAGCTTGGAATTATTTTGAGGTCCTGCTTTTAAATAGTAAAATAATATGTATTTAGAATTGAATCATGAATAAAATAAAATAAAATAAAGAAATCAATTCATAACAAATTAAATTTGATAAGGTTATACAGAGTTTCAAAAAGTTTAGAAACACAACCTTCATACCAAGAGCACCACTTAGAAACCATTGAGAAGATTCTCAAAAAAAAACTTGGAATCACCAAGAGCTTTTTGTAACTTACTATCAAAGCAACGTCAACACCCCATTCATCAACTCGAATTTCTTCCAAACAAATAGAACAACTAAAAGTATGAATGGCACAATTATTTCTTAAAGGTTAGATAAAATATGTATCTGATACCATAATTGGCAAATTAGTTGGAAATTGATTTAACATTTCCTGATTTAGTTTACAAAACCATTTTTGGCAAATCCTTACCTTATATAAATGGAATATATTCACTTAAAAAAAATTAAATAATGTCGTCCAAAATAAATATTAATTAAACCTGTTTATGTTTACTCTTGTAAAATAAATTGCAAACCTTTTCATATCATTCAAAAGCTTATTATTATATTGAAGAGATTAAGGTGACAATGCGTTATTCTCCTCATTATTGTTAAGGGTCCTATTATTACAACACAAATCCAAACTTAAAAACAAATACCAAGGATTGCTCTGATCCCATTACACACCAAGTAATTTCCTAAATTTCCTATTCTGAATGGTTTCCTACTGCGATTATTTAATTTAATCCAAAAGCTATCATCGTTTCTACCAATACCTTCCATCAAAAGTAATTTGATAAATGCTACTATATAATTAACTAATGGAGGCATTGATGTTGAGGTCGAAATAAAATAAGTGAAGGTATCAATTTTAAATTGTTTCGCTTGGATATCCCAAAAAAAGGTGTATCAATTAGAATAATCAGGTTTCGACGGTAGATTTGTGGTGGTAATGGTGATAGTAGTGGTGATAGTGGTAACGTTAGTGGTGATAATGGTACCGTTGAAACTGTAATAAATTAAAAATCCCGTCGAAGGTTAAATCATTGACTATTACCATTTCTACAATGAGAGCATATGAAAATTCTTTCGAGAAGCCAACTTAAATGGAGTTTCTAGGTATATTATAAATTAAACGTTCTGAGAAATTTTTTTTAAAAAAAAGTATATTAAGATTTTATACTTTTATTTGAAGTAGTAAACCCGAAGCGATTTCACAAGCTAAATTTTAAATTTTAAACATTAACCTGATATAGACGAAATGATACATATTATATTTTGTAATTACCTGACGAATAAGTTCTTTAACGGTGACTTTGTTAAGATTTAAACGCGTAATGTTGTTTT